TACTGTAGTGGTCTACTGTAGTGCAGGTCGGCCTGCACTGTACGGTGTCAGCATCGGTGCTGACAGTACACGTGGTACCCGTGTGTGCGCGCTTCGTACGCGCCGAGTACACGTATGCACGTGTGCTGTGGGGCACACGTGGACACGCTCGGTGGTACTGTAGAGCGTCGGGCTCTACAGTAGCTAAATCAATCGTGATCTAATCTAAAGAGAGTCCCCCCGGGGTGGGGTTGTGCTACACTCTTGGCTCGTGTGGTTCGAGAGCCTCATGAGGAGTTGTAGCGGGAGACCCACCGCGTACGCTGCCGACATGCCCCCGCTTCGTAGGGAGCGGGGGGTGAATTTCATCCCAAGAGGGGCGAGGGTCCCGGTGGACGCGAGAAGAGCGGCTACTGCGCGGGCTTAAAATTGCGGAGCAGCGGGAGCGGCGCGTCGGGCGGAGTCGGGGAACAAGTGGGCGTCCGAGTGGGTCGCAAGGTGCGCGAGCCGGCGAAGTAAGGTAGCGAATGGATCCGTGGGCCCAGAGAAGGGTATTCGAAGTGCGACGCGGGGCACAACGCCGGTCTCGGCGTACTTGAAACGCCATAACTGTAGTTGTCCTTCGGATGGGGTAAGTCGAATGTCACAGCGTTGCAAGGCAGCCACAGTCGAGGGGCGTGCGCATTACAAAAACGTAAGTGCAACGAGGCCGTGTTGGCGGAGTGTGTGGCTGTCACGCGCGGAGTGAATAGGCCAGGGAACTGCAAGGGCTTCGCGAGGAGCGGCCGAGGCGGCCGAGGCGGGGAACGGCGCGGATCGCTCTGGGGGCCCGGTGGCTCTGCGTGCATCTTGAGCGCGGTAGCCGCGACGCGCCATCTGAACCATTCCATGATCTGTGGGGTCTCCGTAGCCTTTGCGGATGTGTTGGGCAACCACTGCAGCCAAATACGGACGTAGAGATCCGCCGCGCACGGTGTTTCTCTCAAATAAATATCCGAGGTACGATGCAATGGTGCTGGCGGAGGCGGGTAGAGCGGCCAACGAATGTGCCGTGCAAAACGTCACGAATCTATCCCAGTGTCGTTGGTAATTCCCCTCCGTCGAACGGGCGTAGCCAGAACTCATAAGGTGTGCGGCCGTGTCAGCCCCCGCAGCGCGCGGTATCAACGCCTGCGCAGCGCGATTGCCCTCGAGAGTCCATCTGCGCGCGGCGACTTGCAGAATGATAGGGCGACGGTCGGCCAGGGCGGCGTGAAATTCTCGACGTTGAGGACTGTGGCGCCGGCGCCAATTGCGGACTGAAACCAAGCCTGACCTGACCAGTGGGGTGCGAGGAGCACGCCACGACCAAATTTCTGTAGGTACCGAGCCCATACTGGAAGCAAGGCGGGCCGAGGCAGCACGACTGGGTTGGTGAAGCGTGGGGTATATCCGGGGAGGTCGTGTCCGTCGACGATGTCGAGGCGCTGAGCGAAGCGACGTCCCAGCAGGCGTGTGGCGGTTGGCGGTAGACCAAGCGTGACTGTCCCTGCGTCGGGAAAGGCGATCTGCCCAAGTGTTGACCACTGAGGGGATGTGGCGCGTGGAGAGTGTGACGCCGTGTGCCTCGCATAGTGCCCGCAACTCTCGTAGTCGTGAGAGTAAGCGAGGCGAGCAGGACGTGAGATTGCGCACGATATGTTCTGTTACCTTGCTGTCGGTGACTATCTCGACTTGCCGGGTACGCGCGTGTCGAACGAAGTGGCACAGGCCGTACAGGGCCGCCAGAAGCTCCAACTCGTTGATGTGGCTGCCCTCGTGGGAGGCGTCGAAGAAGCCTGACACTGGGACCATGCCGTTCCAAGTCGCTCCGCACCCACCCATGCTGGCGTCTGTGAAAACCAAGGCGTCTGAGGCTGGCCATAAAATGCGACCGAGGTGCGAGTTTGTGCTGAGTCGAGCCCACCACTGTAGGTCCCGCATGCCCGCGTGTGATAGGCCGGCCCGACCGGTTGCGGACCCAGTTAGGGAGTCGAACAACTTACGCAGGCGCAGGCGGGCGTCGATCACGGCTGCGCTGACGCTGTTTCCGAGGCCAGCGAAGCGACGAATGTCGGTAACCCATACGAAAAGATGGTGCTGTGACGCGTATCGCAGTAGTCGGCGCGCCTGCGTCTCGATCTTGGAAAGTTTTGCGGCGCTTAGAAGAAACAGCGCGCGTGACGTGTCGACCACGATCCCTAAGATTTCCAGCTGGCGGCCCCCTGTAAAGTCGCATTTGTGGGGATGTAGCTGAAGACCTAGCCCTGAGAATAGTTCCATGAATTCCAGCCCCAATGCTTGCGTGTCCAACGTGCTTGCTGCCCCAGCGGTAGAACTCCGAGGCGCGCCATAAAAATCGTCCAGATAACCGAATACGCGGTGCGCTCTCCTGCGTAGAAAGGCGACGACGGGCCGCATGGCCTTTGTGAAAAACCATGGCGCCACGGACAGGCCACAGTTTAGACAGAGAGGGATGTAGATTGTGTCGTCGACCCTGAATGCCAGCCATTTTTGGTCGCGCCGGCGGAGGCGCAGGTGGTAATACGCGTCGCTGATGGCCGCCTTGAAGAGGGAATCGTTCGGATGGAGAACTGCCTCCAGGTCCCCTAGCTGATCCATCCTGAAAGTTCGCTGCTCCAGGGCGTCGTTTACCGCGGAATAGTCCACCACTAGCCGCGGTTTCCGGGCCGACGTGGTCACGAATGCAGGGGAGACGCGTCCTTCCCCCTGGAGCCCCTGGGCCTCGACGGGCGTCGTCCTCCTCACAAATCCCAGCGTGAGCCACCTCTGAATTTCCTTCGAAGCGAAGTCGGCGCCATCCGGATTGAGGGAATACGCCGATCGGGATTGGAATCTGGGTTCCGATTTCCACGGGAGCTGAATCCCGAACCTAATCTGCCGTAAAAGCCACGGGCTGGCTCCGATCCGCTCCCACTCCGCGTAGGATGCTCCGACGCGAACAAACGGGGCTAATATTACTTAGTTCCCCTGCTACCTTCCCGACGGGCGGAGTGGCTGCCCTGCGCGTTTCCTCTTGCGGACCCACGTCCTGCTCTCTCAATGCGAGTGCGTCCGCGGCCGCTGCCTGATCCAGTTCCGCCTGCAGCGCGCGTCGAACCGCTGAGCTGGTCCTTGATCCCGACTGTTCGCCTCCCGGCGCGAATGGCCGCTGATTTGACAGCCTGTCGCTGTTGCTGCCGGAATGCCTCCCTTCCAGCGATATTGTACCCGGCAGCCGGGGAGATGGAGGTTGAGAGAAGTTCGGGGTCGGCGACTCCAGCTGCTCCTTGTCGTCCACAGAGGACTTCGTAGCGGGAGGCGTTGAGCTCGTACGTGCCGAATACGGCGATTTGGGCGTCTGAGATCGCCTCGAAAACCTCCAGGACCGGTCCTTGGAGGTCGTCCGGTAGAGCCTCCACAACCCCGATTCTCTGGATGAGCTCCGTGAGGCTGTCCACGAGGGTGTTGTTGACGGTAGTTGTGTAAGCTGCTGTACAGTAGAGGTTAGCTGCCTCCTCTTCTCTTCCTGTGCTAGCTGATCCTGATCCAAACGTTTGGTAGTGATCGATCGATTCGGGCTTAAACCCAATCGGGCGTAGAGGATGGAAGCGCTGTGGGACGGAGAATCTCGGGGAGATCCGATTGTGGCGATTCTTCTCGTACCAACGCTTTGAAAAGGCGACAAGGGCTCCTTCTCCAAGATACTCCTGGTCTTCGTCGTCTTCTTCGTCGTCCTGATATTCCTTATCTTCGGACTCACCGTCTGTGTTTCCTGCCGGAGACGGTCCAGCCCCTTCCCGACCCCCTTCGCCGCCCGGTGTGGCTGCACCCCCGTTATTCCTCTGGGCGTCTCCGGTAGCGTCTTCCTCTGGCCGGATGGAACGAGCTCCCCCGCTGGGGGCGGCGTCGAGAGCCTCTGCGCTTGCGGCTGCCGGAGTGCTGGGGGCTCAAACATCCCTAGAGTCTATCACTGTGGAGACGCCTGCAGCAATTAGGGATTGTAACGCTTCGATTTGCGCTTGGCTGAAAGCTATTGGTTGTTCTGGAACCGCATCCTGATTGTCAGCCATTCGTGTAGGCGGTGCCATCCAGGAGATTGTGTCAGACCTCCGTGAGTTTCTTACGGGGAAGTTCGCTCTCGAGATAAAGCGAGAAGCGAAATGACTCCCGAACGCAGCACGTCCCCAATGGGAGTTCGGGGGACTGAAATACAGTATTCCCTCAAGCACCGCCGCGGTCGACGGCGGCGGTGGCGTGACTGCGTGATGTGACGGTCACGTTCAGATTCCCCCTTGCCCCAATGAGCACTGGGGGATCACATGGTGATTACACAATACAGTGCATGAAAATTGCATAAATACACCCCCCCAATCTCGAATAAAAGCATTTTTGACACTGTTTCCTGACGCCACCGGGGCATCAGCCCTCGAGGGCGCGCGCGGGAATCCAAATCCAAAGCCCCTTTTTGAAAAGCAAAAAAGGACTTGGAGTTGTGCGGCAATATCCAGACGAAATTCGCATATGACCGCGAAAACCCAAAAGGTACAGAAACGTTCATCCACAAATCTTGGCGGCAAACCGAAAGAACGGAGGACGCATTGCCTCCGGTAGTTACATATTTAAACAGAGAAACATTTTAATAGCAGTAGAGCTATGGTATCATCTTCAAAGATGACTCGTCGTAAGCTGTTATCAGACTTCGAGAAAGGTCAAATCGTGGCTATGAAAAGGGAATGCATGAGCATTCGGGAGATCGCTCGAACACTCGGCAGGTCTCCTGGTGCCGTACAAAACTTTTGCAAGCACCCAAATCGGGTTGACGCACAGAAGGGCACGCGCAACGCATCAAAAATCAACAAAAAGCAGACAAGACTGTTGCTTCGCGAGGCAAGCAAAGGTGAAAATCATGCAAGGAACTGAAGCTGTGCCTTGATATTGGGATTGGCGTTCGTTGCATTCAGCAGATTCTACGTGCAACACCTCACCTCAAATATAAAAAGATGCTGAAACGTCCACAGATGCTGGAAAGGCACAAGGTTGCCAGGTTGAAGTGGAGCAAAAAAATGCTGCAGAAAGGGAGTTCGTATTGGCGCCAGGTTGTTTTCTCAGATGAGAAAAAATTCAACCTAGATGGCCCGGATGGCGTGGCTTCATATTGGCACGATTTACGGCGAGAGGAGAAGGTTTTCTCCACCAGGCACCAAGGAGGAGCATCATTGATGCTTTGGGGTGCTATCTCCGTTCGCGGTACGTCTCACTTAGTTCGCGTTCAAGGTACCATGGACTCTACGCAGTACTGCAGTGTCTTGGAGGAGGACCTGCTGCCGTTTGCCGCTGATAATTTGGGAGAACAATGGACTTTTCAGAAAGACGGTGCCTCTTGCCATCGCTCTAAGTACACAAAAGCCTGGCTTGATTCAAAGAACGTCAATTTATTGGATTGGCCAGCCAAGTCCCCAGACCTGAACATCATTGAGAACGTTTGGGGTCTGCTCGCTCGGCGTGTGTATGCTCATGGGCGCCAATTTGACAATTTAGAGGACCTTGCTGATTGCATTATAGATTGTTGGTGTTCTATCACAGAACAGTACCTAGGAAAGCTTTACGATTCACTTCCCCGTCGCCTTGTAGAGGTGTTGGAGAAAAAGGGCGGTCCGACGAGCTACTAGTTGGCCACAGTAAAACTGTCAAGGTACTGTACCTTTTGGTTTTTCTCGGTCATATGCAAATTTCGTCTGGATATTGCCGCTCAACTCCAAGTCCTTTTTTGCTTTTCAAAAAGGGGCTTGGGAATTGGATTCCTGCGCGCGCCCTCGAGGGCTGATGCCGCGGTGGCGTCAGGAAACAGTGTCGAAAATGCTTTTATTCGAGATTGGGGGGGGGGGGGGGAGTGTATTTCTGCAATTTTCGTGCACCGTACCGTTCGTATCCTACAACGTGGTCCTATAATTTTTTCGGGGAGCGTATAGCTTTTCACCCAAAATGACCTAACTACTGTACAAATTTCGATTTGCATTTATTGTGACAGACGGGCCCCTCTGAATTGACAAGCATCCTTTTCCAACCATACACTGGTCCGATCTTTACATCAATAGGAGGTCTTTTGGACAGCGCCTTATCTACGTGTTAGTTCGTCTCCTGAAAACAGCGTGTTAGAAGATTGGATGCAGGACTTAAATAAAAGTTACACATTGGAATGTCGTGTGAAGACGGACCCGAACATTGGTGACAATGTCCTTTGAAGCAGACCTCTAAACATAGTCATAACTATGCCGGGCGGGGTTGGTGCTGTTCCTACTAAATGTCAGCACTATCGATGAGTGTACATTATCGGGGGGGATATTGCTCATGATCGCACTATTCGAAGATCGCCCCCGTACCTATGTTACCGTGTATATATATTTGCAGTGTTGACAGTAGCTACAGGCTGTTGACATGAGGGGGGTTTCTTGACTCTTCTCAGTGGACAGTACCTGGCAATTGCAGTTCCAGCTTTTCTGTTCATCTTGCTGTGATGATTCGGTATACATGAATCCGGGAAAACGTCATCTTTCAAGTGAAGAGGCCATGAACAGCCAAGAAACGCTTTCGTTCGGCTTCTGAACGTATTGGTGTCGACGATTATTCCCAACCTGTTGGTGAGGCGACTTAGTGCTTTACATTTTTACTGGAGAAAAGACATTTAAACACGGATCCAAACCGTCGAAACTATCGGTGACGGAGTCACCGTCGTGAACATGGATCTCTGAGAGCAGTCGTCATTCAGTAGTCTTTGCGTAATTGTTTTTATGGAATTTTACGTTATGCCTCCCCTCCTGATGGACACGAGAGCACCGTTACCTTTCAATGCTAGGAGAGTGCTATCATACACCATTTGGATTGTTTCTTTCTTCCGAGAATCCATGACTTTAATTCAGTTGCATGTGAACCGCGCTTATCTGCTGTGCTTTGCTTCAAAGACAAACAGTGATGAACTCTCTGAAAGGAAACGGAAGAAGGCTCAATATTTATCACACAAACTGCATGGTCCCGCAGATTTGAATTGCGAAATGTGAAAACGAAGAATTTCTTTCAACTATCTAGAGTATCAGCAACGGAATATTTCATGGGAGAATTCTGTGTTATTGGGAGCCACACCCGACAAACCCCGGAAACTGTACGCAGACAAGAAAATCTGCTTGCTTTTGCCTCCTCGCTATTGAAAAATAGTTCAAGAAGATCTCAAGCGTAGGACTGTTTGATAAGTCTGGCTCACTATTCAACTTCTTTTCAATGCTTCTTCAACTTTCTCTTTTGTTCTCTTTTACATTGCCTTCCACACACTACTGAATGCTTCAATATCTGGAAGGCCTCCTTGACCCAACTTAATCGCAAAGAGCAAGTCCTTCTTCATTTCATTGCGGTCAAAATGCAAGAAAGTACTCATCTTGGCAGCTATACCAGTCCCCGTGAACCTAATTTCACACCAGTGGAAACGATTCTTTCTGCAAGCACAACTCAATCTCTTCACGTGGGAGATACAAATACCAAGCATCACTACAAACAACTATCCCCACATCTACCATTAGCTTCGGCAACACTTTTGCTAGCGTCTCTCAATTTGACTTCTTCGCTTTCAGAACTGGGATTCGCTTTGTCCGCCTTCGCACTATCGTTAGGCAACGTTGTCGCTCTATCACGCATGCCAGTACGAGTGTCGCGTCGCACCAACACTTTCACTCTTGCCTCTGTCTGCATATTGATTTTTATTTCTCGATCAGTGGCCATCAGTGATGAAGCAAACATGCATGTTTCCAAATCTCTGGATCACCGTCATCCGTTTTCAAAATTTGAGCCTGCAGGTCATGAAGCATCATCATTCGTCGCTGTGAAAACAGCAGTGGAGTCTAGAAATACAGCGCACCCTGTCAATGCGCTAAAAGCAGTTGAGCGTAGCCAACGGGCGTCCCCAAACGCTGGGGATGCTGATACTGAAGCCCACGAAAACAGCATTGACGAAACCCGTATCCAGAAAGAAAGTGATGGCTCCATTGAGCTTGGCCGCCACACGAAGCCTCCGAACCTCAATGGGACGTTCATTGTGAATACGCATGCTACAGAGTCATGGTAAGCTTTTTTTTTTGTGTACTTCAAACTTCCAGTCATGAAAGCTATGAGTTCTCTAACAGTGCTGTTTCTTTGATCTCATCTTGTCTGCCTGACTTCTTGTGTGGAAACTCTCGCCTTTCTTCAAAGCTCTTTGGCCTGTTCTAGATATGATTATGCTTGTGCGGCCGACTCGTTTGCGGTGGTGAACTCTTGCCAAGTTTTGGTGCTTCGTCTGACTTGTTCTCGATGCATTGAAGCGCCAAAGGAGGACCTCTTTGCCTCGTCGTTGCCCGGTGCTTTGCGCAACAATGATTCAGTGATACCAAATTGCTATACCTTGAAAAAGGAAGACCTTGCTGCCGCGACTTGTGCAGGGTCAACGCAAGACATGATACGCCTGTGCCCCTGTGTTGTTTAGAAGAAGAGACTCCCTTTGGTTTCTTCATTTTGCACAAAGCCCATCAAGCTTCCCATACTTCGCGGACGGGACACCATTGAGGGCCTTCAGAGGTGGTACAAGTGAGAAGGTTACTATGCCCTTACCGATACATTTCTCTCCCAATGCTCGCCCAGATAATTCAAAGGCTTGAAAGGGTCTGCACGTAGTAATGACATGATGTTAGCTACGCGCCTTATATTCTGAGCTGCAACTCTACAAACTAGGTGGGATGTTTGTGAAGTCTTCACAGAAAAGAAAAAAAAAGGAAAAAAGTGATGGTTTCTCCTTGCCGTTTGTCAACGTGAAACCTCATGTTGAGAAAGGCAAACTGAACGAAGGCTCATCGTTTACCAAGATGAGCATTAACACTTTTCGGAGTTAGATATGCTTTGATTGGAAGAGCACTGGTGTACCAGTTAAACATTATTGATGCTGTTTGTCCTATTTGATTAGTTGCACAGACGAATGGGTGTATTGCCTTAACTTGCTTTCCATCCATGAAAATATCGCTGACTGTCTGAGTACAAATAACTTCTGCGTTGTAAAGTCAAGAGTGCTATGTTCTATGTACTGATACAATGTGTTTAAAATAAGAAATGCCTTGGGGCATTGGTATGCGGCAGACTGTTCATTATTACAGAACGTGAATTGCTCAACAACTTCAGGGATTTAGTGTAGAGAAGGTGCCCTTGGAGGCTCGCATCTAATAAATGGTATTCAGTCGAAAGCTTGTGTTTTTATTCTTTGAGATTGAGTCTCAGTACAGTGCACTACAGAGAGGACTCGCGCAATAGTGCCGAATTGAGTAATTCCATGAGTGAGTAATGCAGGGGTTTCTCGGTGAACACAGGTTATCATACCTTGCATTGCTGTTAGACACCTGTCCAAGACGGGGACGCGGCGTGCCGACGAAGATGCTCAACAGTAAACGGATCAACCTTTCCAACATACCCCACAGATCCTCTCCGTCTTACTCCAGTGACACGCAAGGGCACCGACACAACCGCAACACAGCATGAAAAGACGAGTGCAGATGGAACCAAAGAGATAGAATCAAATGAGTATGTTATTCCAGGTTTTGAGGAAGTAATTGCCTGCTTTACGGGAGTGGAGAAAATGGTGAACAATTCGGGTACTGTATCGAGGATGCAGTTCGTCATTTGCACCGTGCAAAGCGCGTGTTTCTAACTGCACACGCTGAGCAGAGTCGTTCCGAGAGGCGCCAGACGCTTGTAAACGAGTATTTTGTGTGACCCCATTCATTAGTGCAAGATGCGAGTATTGCATGTTGTTGGAACCTTGCATGGGAGTGCACTACTCGGTGTGGTTGACTGTATTCCACAGATTTTCTAGTGGATAGATCTATCCGACCAAGTGTTATCATAACTTCAAATCTGCAACTTTATTTCTATTCAACTTCGATGTCCACGATTTCTATTTTTCTTTTGAAGGTTAACTTGTTCTAAAATTTTTCTCAAGTTTCAACTGAATAGAAAGCGCTCTACGCAATGTCTTTATGCCTCTGTTATAAAATTAGCTTCAAGGAAAATGCTTGCTGTAAGCCGACCTTTTTTCTTGAACACTTTTATGTGCATCAGCGAGTTCGTTTTCGCTAGAATCGATGAGCAATTGCTTTATCTGTGGTGGGTGGTGACGTTTTAGTTGCAAAAAAAACAAATAACAAAAAACAAAGTGATATCGCAAGTTGCGTTCTCTAGAAAGAATAAAATAACATTTGCCCTCATATGAGGACTAACGGTCCGATAGACACTCTAGAGTGCCGTGAAGAAAAAACCACATCCAATACAACCTGTAAACATTCTTGCGTTGCATGGCCAGACTTTTTGGATATCGCCGAGCAGCTCTGCAGAGCATGAATTGGATACTGTGTGAACAAAGTGGTCGAGTAGTGCTTCCTTCGCTTTGAACTAGCTGGCAGTTTGCCCCGTGAAGGAAAATAGCGTGATGGTTTCCATAGGTGTCAGCAGCATCTCTGTCACAGCGCCCCCCTAATTCGGTATGCCCCTGCGGCCAGATATCTTGGTACAGTTTGTGCAAAAGCCTTCATGCACCCCAAGATGCACTCTTCTGGACAGTTTAAAGCCTTTGGTTAAAACGACCGTGTCCTTGATTGGCATTCCCCGTTAGCATCTATTTACCAGTCAAATGACGCGGGGTTATTTGACATTTTTCTTGGTTGAATGGACATTGTGAGCATTTTCTTAGCGGGTTGTGTGCCCGGCAGGCCGCCAACAACGTGCCTATACAAATCTTGAACTGATGCAATGGATAAAGGGTTTTCGACAATTGGTGATTCCGAGAATTTGGCATTCACAGATTCAAGGTGCAGGTTTGTTCGTTGTCGAAGCGTTAGAGTAGTGTCCTCCGGATCAAGCGGCGCATCCAAGAGCCCACCCCCGTTATTACAACCGCCTGGGCATGCCATAAGTTCGATGTAATCAAACTTGCAAATTCCTCTTCGCACTTTGCGGAGAATACTTTGCAAGCTTCGAAATCCGTATGCTTTAGCGAATTGTAGCTTTTTCGTTCCTGAAGTCTCTTCAATTGTTATCAACATCAAGTCGCCTGACTTGCTTGCTTTCTCCCATTGCAAGGGTCCATCTGGCAACTTGACACCTAAAAATTCCTCTGCAGCCTCTCGCAATATAAAGTCAGCATACCCACCAGAACCGCTCCCAACATTAACACCAAAAATCTTCGTTCTCGCTGTTTGAAAAGGCACATCAAATGGGCTCTCCGTAGCATCTTCAAAGTCAAACTTGCATTCATCGATAAGATCCATGAGCTCTCCAGCAGTTATGACGCATGCAACTTCCTTCTTCTCGTTGCCGCTCGAGTCGATAGATACAAATTCTGGTCTGCTTGCCTCCAACTTCTTGTCATGGCATTGCATAATCGCTGTAATCCAAACGTCACTTGTATTCCCTTGAGGACGAAGTGCTTTCGCGACCAAAGCTGCCAAACCTTGTGGAGATCGCACAGATGATATACAACTCAAAATATTGTCATCCTGAGTCTTCTCAGCATACGACACCCAACCGGGACAGGCAGAAGTGATTGTTAGTTTCTTTCCCGACTTGAAGCGCTGCATGAACTCTTCGGATGCTTCCAAAAGGGACAGGTGGCGTGCAAATGATAAATCAAAGACAGCATCAAATCCGACGTCGTCCCGCAAAAAAGTGGACAACTTCCTTGCAGCAACTCCGAGACTACTCCCAAAGTGAACAGCAATTGATGCAACTGCTTGTTGGGAGAGTGCAGCGACAGCAAAATTGGACCGAGCACTGCTTTTCCTTGACTTTCGAAACTGTCGAAGAGAATCGAGGCTGTCTGTAGAGAGCAAAACTGTCTCTGCTGAAGTAACACATCCCGAACAAGTTAGGCAATCACTCAACGTCACTTTGGCTTTCGCCACTTCAACATTGGTGCTTTGGACAGGCACAATTGGAGCTAAGAAAGAACCTGCTGGCTCTGCTTTGAGCCTAGCAACGACGACATTCTCAGCACCTTGCTTGCCATCTTCTACTGGGGTCCTTGACGAATTTGCAGAAGCACCGCCGCCGAGTGGTAGCACGCATGCCTGAGATGGAGCGAGAAAGTCGTTTATATCAGTGATGCGCACGGCATTGGATAGACGGGCTTTGGGAGCCATTCGCAAGTGCAGCGGATTGTGGATGCAACTCTTCCCGAAAGATGGATAGGAATTGTTGAAGGACTTGGGTGTCTTGCTTCTGGCGTTGACGAAAAAAATGGGTTTAGCGCTCAGTAAGCTGAAGATTTTTAAAAAAAACCTGCCAGCAACGCACTAGATAAAAGATATTTGGGTTGATTCGCGGTCGTTGCTCATCATTCCAGTCGACGTCCTTCGAGTATTTCAGAACCACGTTCATGCGGCATGACCTCTCTGGCGGAGCAATTCCTAGACGACGTAGAATCGTCCGAGAGCGAAGACGAGCAATTGAAAGAAGAAAAAAATGGCGAACGTGAAGTGCAAAGAAAGGAGTCGAAGAGCAATGATGACGAAATGGCTATTGACGCAGAGCGTCCGGCAGAGGGAATCTTGTCGCTTGAAGCTCGAGTCGCATTTGTTCTGAAGCATATTGAAGAAATTCGATCGGGTCTGCGCGTCCCAGATATCTCCACTGGCACAAGCGGCCAAAATACTGATGATGAAGAATACACTTTGGTGGGAAACTGCATGGAAATTGCCGCAGACATAGACGAAGAAATTCGTTCCTTACACGGCCAGCTTGTGGAGGCGTTCTCCCCAAATTTTCCAGAGCTACAGACCCTTATTTTCAATCCCCTTGACTATGCGCGAGTGGCCTTGCTTGCTGGAAATGTGGACGACTTGAAGAAAGTGGATTTGCGAAAGATCTTACCATCAGGAAGTGTTATCGCTGTACAGGTAACCGCAGCATCTTCTGCTAGAAGGGCACTCACGCAAGAAGAGCTGAATCGGGTGAAACAGCAGTGCAGTGAATTGATTTCGCTCGACGAATCGAAGCTAAAGATTTTGGACTATGTGGAGAGTCGGGCGAGCTACATGGCCCCAAACCTGGTGGAAGTAGTGGGAGGCGCTGTCGCTGCAAAGTTAATGGGAATTGCCGGCGGCTTGCGCGAATTAGCGTACATGCCGAGTTCCAATGTGAAAGTGCTCGGCAAGGGGAAAAAAACTTTGCAAGGCACATCGTCCGCTACCACCAAGCTACATGAAGGGGTGATATATACATGCCCTCTCGTTATAAATCTTCCCAAACAGTACAGGTCGAAGGCAGGAGACGTCCTAACGGGAAAGGCCTCTCTTGCGGCGAGGGTCGATGCCTGCCGCGAACAACTAGATGGAAATGTGGGTCGCAAGCTTCGGGAAAAGTTGGAAGAAAAATTCCTGAAGTGGCAGGAGCCGCCACCAGCTAAAACGTTAAAACCTTTACCAATACCCGGGGATGAGGCAAAGAGGAAACACCGCGGAGGAAAACGAGCCAGACGAGAAAAAGAGCGCCTTGGTATCACGGATATTCGAAGGCTAGCCAATCGGGTCAAGTTTGGCCAACAAGAGGAGGTGGTGGGGAATGACTTGGAGAACGAAGGCTTCGGAATGCTCGGTGCGGAAGGTTCAAAGCGATTGCGAATCCAGTCGAAAAAGACAGATTCAGTTTCGATTGCAGCCAAGAGGCGATTGGCGAAGCAGAAAGGTCGGAACGGAATCAGTGAAGCCGCGGCTTTGGGAATAACCACAAATTTAGCGGACGGTATTGAGCTCGGCGCGATAACCCCAGCCCCTGGTGGTGTGGGATTGGGATCTATGAATACGAATGCGGCGAAGAGTGAAACCAACTACTTCTCACCATCAACGCGTTTCATGCAGGTCAAGAAAGAAGAGTAAAGCTGTTCTCAGACGAAACGGGTGCGGAGTAGTTGCCATTACTCTCTCACACTATCTGTACACATACACAGTCACAGTTGGGAGTCGGTATTGTGCACTGTCCTGGCTTTCAGATCCGGAACATTGCCTGCAGTTAAGTCAACAGCCACTTAGTGCGATGAAGAGGCTGGCATGACCATCGAAGAGCGTCGAAGCAATTCTAGGCCAGGTGCATATGTGGCCAAGCTGTCTCGACCACCATTAAATTAAACGACGACAGCGCACTAGTTAGCTTCCTGCCGTCGCCTTCGGCCCTTGTTCTTGTTCCTCGAGCGACAGTGTAGCAAGCCTCCCCCCTCTCATCATGTCATCTGACGGAGCAGGGGGTAAGTAGTTTCCTAGAGGCTGCGAAACATCCCACCCAGCCGGAGCAGACAGAGACGCACTGATCTTCGACCCGTAGCTAATGACTTCGTCAACGTCGACGGGTCGTTTGTTCGCTCGCTTGAGGGCGGCCATCCTAGGACGTGCTTCATCCAAGGCGTTCTGTAGCACTGATTCAGCCGCCCGTAAATTGGCCCCTAACTGCGCAATTTTGGCGTCCTCTACGGCGTTGGCAGCTCGTAGTTCTTCTATTACACTGTACAGTCGTTGATGCTCGATCACTTTGCGGTACATGAGAAGAGCAGAGAAGGAAGACTAAACCGTCAGGATAACGCTTAGGGAAGCATGTTTGTTGTGTTGGTGCAATACAGGGTTGGAAACATACCTTCGTCGATAAATTTTCGCAACGATTTCTGTCTGACAATGAGCTTCTCCATGACATGTACAGGCTCCGACTTGGTTTCACTGCCTGGAGTGATTCGGTGGACATCGCGCGCAGTGAGTCTTGGTGGTTGTAAAAAAAGCCAAAGGCCGACGTCAGTTTCCACCGATGTATGTGTTATGGATTCAAGCGCTCAATGTGGAGACTCACCGTCGTCCGAGAAGATGCGCATGAGCATCAAACAAGGACCGTACCAAGGATTGGCATTCGAGCAGCTCATCCCTCGCGCGCTCGCGAACGGGCCCGTCATCGTTATCCTTGTCGGTAGCCATGTCGGTGTTCCGTTGATATGCGGACTTTTGTTGAAGTGGTCGGATGGGCGAAGACGCAGAAGGTGATGGATGGCCCATGTCTCAGTCGGAGGGCAAGCCCTGTGAGCGCAAGTGGTTGGGAAGGATTTATTTGATCCAGACCGCCAACGAAAATATTACAGAAATTGTAGAATTGGGTTTATTTCGCGACACGGATGCCGGGTGCCCGCTACTGGTAAATTATTTTTGCGCACCGTTAACTCGGTCGTATCACCTGCGTACTCTTCCACAACGGCTGTTTCCACCCTCGAGCGCAGTTGCCGCTACAGTCTGTCGATAGAACACCTGCCATCTTTCGATCATCGAGCGAGCACCTTCTTGCCGTTCAAAAATCACCCTTTTGGATAGCATTTTGAACACCTGCGTTTCTCCAAGAATAACCCCGACCATGAATGTCGACGACCTCACTTCTTCTCTCAACCAAATTTCTTTGGATGACAACCATCGACCACGCTCCTTCCGCTTACCCTCTTTCAATAGTGACTGTGACGAAGATTCTAACGAATTGGATGGCATGCAGGGAAATGCTAATGAATCGAACCAAGCTCCAATTTATTCCTCCTCTTCAGGCGACTCAACTCGTTTAATGCCTGATTTGGACGAGCATGACTCCGCAACATCAAGCTATTTCACAGCTCTAATGCATCCCTCTACAAGTCCAAAGTTTGCTGAAGATCCTCCGTTAAGAAGAGGAGGCTCTACTTCACGCAGGGGAACTGCAGTTGCATCTGAACTGGGCTCATTCTTTTGGGCAGCCTGCGCCCCAGTGATTGCTGTGCTATGGAAAACCCATGCGTTCGCAACCGGCTTGGCTATAATTGCTGCACTAGCACAATGCGTGGCTCTGATTCGACTCTCCTCGTGCCAAATATTTTTGAGGAGACGACGACGAAACGAGTTTGGCAGCGATCGCGCTGTGCGGTTCCCTAGATATTGGTGGGTGACGAACACGGAAGGCTTGCTGTGGAGGCTTTTGCTGCTATCCATTCTCGTTTTGTTGAGAGTGGCGATTTTGACGTTTTGTGTAGGTGCGATATTCATGAGGCTGGACGGAAAATGGGGTGCCAAAACGCGTGATCATGTGCGAATATTGGGGGAAACTGCGTTTATTACGATAAGAGAGGCAGGCCGATCCTTCACTGGACAGTATGGGTCTGACAGCCGGGGAGCTAGGTTCTCTAGGACGGCGGTTGATGGATTGGTCGGATTTTGTACGCGTGCAGAGATGATGGGGCTCGAACCAATGTTATGCTAGCATGGCTCTGCCGTTGACCAGTGAATCGCTTTCTGAGTTCATGGTCGCTTGTCTCGCCTCCGCATTTGAGACGCCTGTCATGCTCATTTGCGACGTTTACCACTGTATGGGTTAAGGAGTGTGCGAGAGTTCGCTTCAGAGAAGGTGTAACTCTGCACCTCGTTTCGCAGCGACTAGATCTTGACCCTTTGATAAGGAGTCTCGAATGCTAGCCTATGCCTTTTCACGTTGTTTCAAACAAGTGTTATAATATCTTGACGATGGCAGAACCTAAGAAATCTCCCACTTCGCTTTTGCTTTTCCGAAAGAATTCTCTAGAGGGAGCTTCGCAAACATGTCAAATGAGTCTGCCGATATGGGGCGCTTCCTGTTTGGAAAATCAGACGGCACACGGCTGATTGTTCTATTCTCCAAATTTACGTTGTATAGAAGCTCCTATGTATTTATTTCTAGTGCGCTTCCAGGTCACTCTTCATATTTCGTTATCAAGTGCGTGGTTGAAAATGCCTACACATGTGCAGGAGGCAGGCGGAGCCGTTTTATTTGAGGGTAGAAACGGGGGTGCGGTGCCGCTGCTACGAACGTTCATGGATACACCCTGCAGGAACCCCCTGTCGTGCCGACAGGCATTTTGTCATCACACGCGTGCAGAGTTAGTACTCCGGTTCGAATGGAAGCTTGGCTGAGTTTCGTTGAACCCGAGTTTCGTGTGAGACGTCACCGAATTCTATTCAGAGAAGGCGGTATTACAGTAGATAAACACTTCCTTTAGACACGATAACTTGCGGACGTTGAACTTTATTTAATAGCAGTTATACTGTATACTCAGTTATACTGTATACTCTATATACATACAAGTCAGACGCAGAGTGAAGGCATCAATGACCCTCCTTGCCTTTGGCATGAGGACTTTCCGACATGTTCCACGTATGTCGACTCTATTCTAACAGATAATCTCACTGTATGAGACACGGTGCGTTGTTAAGATCCCGATAGCTCTGGTTTTCGCACGCGAGACCTTTTTTCAATTGCAAATTTCGATCTGCGCTTCTTCTGCTTTGGTTGGACCCGACTCGGTAGTGATTCCCAGAATTTCATCGCAGGATTCGTGGGAGGCAGAAAATGCTTGAAGAAAAGAAAGAAGAACGATGGAAGGAACAAGAGCCGCGATGGTATTAGTAGCAAAAACAGTCCGAGGGAGCACAAGAATCCCACAGCTACCCAAGTATGCCACTCCTCGGATCCCCAGAGGTACAATGCTTCGAGTTTTCCCAGTTCTCGGTTCATTCTTCCGATGACGTTCTGGGTCGCCGCAAGGGTGTCATGAACCTGGGCCACAAGCTTCAAAACATTAGCCTGTCGACGTTCTGCATCCTCAGATTCTGTGCGCCCCATCCCCAGTCCAAAATAGTTGTATTTGGCATCTACAATACACAAGGCCTGCGAAAAGAGCATGCACGCTGGCACATAGCTTATCCAACCTTTGACGGTGATGGTGAGACATACCAAGATGGCAAGAATGGTTGCGGGGGGGTTTCTCCACTGGAATAAGTGACTTATCAACTCAAGAAAACGAGCGAGAGGAGAACAGAGATCGGCAAACCGGCCAATGGCTTCCCCAAGCCTCGAAACATCAAAGGGTTCATCGTCTTGAACACGATACATCCGGTCGTTTGAATCCATATTATCTCGAATCGTCGCAAGAGCCCTTTCAATCCAACTCCGACCGCTTTGGTTGTTGTAAGCCCGAACTGACTCGGTGTACCAGTTTATAAGACCTGCATTGCGCTCTGGATCTGTGAATATTAGGAGTGACTTGGACGTACGCTCATCGGTCACCAGTCTCAAAGCTCGATATCTCGCAATGTTGGCATGCGCCGCCACCGCAAGGAGGGGCGGAGAAGGCTCGTTTCGGAACGGAGATCGAGTATAGTTTAAAGACCTCGACTTCAGTATCTCACGAATCTTCTCTTCGTTGTCAAGCATAGTATTAACCGTCGGTTGCGAATCATTCGAGGACTCCGGCTGCTCCAACTTTGGAACTACGCGGCCAGAACTACCAAAGCCGAGCTGAACATGGAGCTTATGCGCAGCAACCATTTCACCGATCAAGTGAACCCAATGGTCTCTGTGCTTAGTCTCTCTGAATTCTAGCAAACTGAATTGTAACGGCTTTCTGCCCGCTGTATATTGTCGCATCAACTTGCCAACGTGTTCTGATAATGTTGTTTCTTTTGAACCATCACCATCTCTTGACGGCAAGCGGTCATCTTTGCCGGCAGTGGATCCCGATGGCTCATCTTTTTTAAGAGCAGAAATACCATCGATGGCAGCCTTGATCTCTGATTCTAAATGTACTTTGAAAGAATCGCGCATCATCAATGGTATCGAACCATCCTCTACTTGCGACATGGAACCTAACCTTGCAACGTAGTGGTTGCGTCCAATAGCTGCATGGAAGATGAGATATCTTTGGCTAAGATACAACTTTCCAAGAGTCGGAAACACATCGCTGTGGTCCAGGGCTCCCTGTGACTTGATGAGCACTTCAAACGGATCAATACCAAGCTCTTGCTTGACTAATACCCAATCTTCATCATGGGAGTAATATTTATCTTGAGCGGCAATGAAAAAAGGTCTCCACGCATCGTATCGAAGAGCGACTGATGGGGGATACAAGTCTCGCGATGGTGATTCAGAAGTCTGAGCGGCGTCAGGGTTTTGTATGTCATCAAAATCGCGCATTGGTTGAGATGACGTAATATTCTCGGACTGGAGAGGCTGGCGTCGGCGGCGTAACCCGTGCTGTTGAATGCAACTCTCCAGCCCAGCGTCATCTTTAATTGATTGCCATTTTCGTTTGGTAGAATTTGAAAACTTGCTCGCTCTGGTTTCCTTCCCATGCCATGGTTGCTCACCTGCTTTGGCCTCTTTCTCCGCGGACTGTCTCGACTGCTCCCGAACAAGTTCGTCAAAGACAATACCTGCGACCGCAGCATCGGCAACAGGTCCGATGAAGGGGGCATACCTGATAAATTCCTCGCGCAAAACATACCCAGATCCAGTTCTGTCCATCATATTGAACAACCAAGAAGACGCGTTCTGCATAGCGGCGGAGTCGATGGCCTTCAGCGTGCTCATAATAGCAAAATCGGCGAAGTCGCGTGGCACCGGCTCAAAGGACTGCGTCCCTGTGCCGAAAGCCAGATTGGTCGGGGGTGACGCGGCGGTCCCTAACCTATACTCCACTTCCAAGTCGTCGATGCTCTTTCCCAGCAAATTAGCACACGCTTGCACCATAGCATCTCTCCATGCGACACCATGGAAGACCAGGTTCTGTAAGTTTGCCTCTGACGTATTGGGGTCGTCCTCCGAGGTGGACGATGTGCCATCCCCGGACGAGCGGTTGTCGTCCTCCGCATTCAACGCGTCGTCATCGCGCTCTTTTGCAGAGAACATGGACAGCGGGTCCGTAAACATGCGTCCGATAGTCTCGCCTGGCCCACGTAGGAGCATTCGACCGGAGACGTTTGAAAACGAGCGGATGCGACGGAATATCATAAGCTCGACGTCGCCGGGGTCGCGCCCTCCGTCATCTTGCCCTGTGGCGCCGTCGACGAGGCCACCCGAGGCGGCGTGGTTTTTGGCGTCGGCGTCGGCCATGGTTGAGGTGGGGCTCGCTTGTTTGAAAGGTTCGGTTAAAACTGCTGTGAGAGGAAGGCAGGAAGGTACAGTGTGCAAGTATAGGTCCGCCAGCTGCCTGGACCACAGTTGTGATCGGAATTAGGGGGCGAGTTTGATTGGTGGGAGTGAGGGTGTGATTTGCATCCATTAGATTGAGAGAAGAGTACAAGTACTACACTAGAGATTTCTCATAAAATAAAGACGAGTCTCCAAGGAAAACCCTCCACGCCCAATCCCTACCACCCCATCTTCTCCCCTCCGTAAACCTGCTCTCCTCCCACCCCCCCCCCCCCTCTAAGGTCTCTCGCACGCTGAGTAAATTTGGCGCACTGCGAACCCGCAACGCACGGGGCGATATGGTGT